TATATATAAAAGTGATGCACCGATACCATTTTTTCAAGTACGAGTACTGATACATTTTTGTTTATTGTCATGTGACAGTTTTTATAAAACAATACAGACTAATGATTTCAGGACAGTGGGGGAGCGCCAGAGCCAGGTCCCAATTTCAACCGCTGTGACCCTGGTAGTTTTCGTGAAAATGCCAAGTATCGGCGCTGGTATCTGAACTGGTATCTGGACATCCCTACGTATTGATGATAGGCTAACTGGTCTGTAATTTCCCAGTACGGTATATATCTTGACCTGAATTTAAAAATTAGTACATCTGCTTTACACCAGTTTGTACTCTTCCAGCCAGTAAGCTGTCCTTGAAAATTAGGACCAATGGTCTGGCTAAGCTCTCTTAGTACTCTTCTATACCGGCCTCCGCCAGCACCTGGTGAGTGACACCCAAACTCCTCTCTGTGTTGCTGATGTTCCGCAGTGTTGCACAGTGACAATCAGTACACATTGCACTTAGCAGTCCTATCACAGTGCCCAGTAGTCCTGCCCAGCTGTTTCCACAGTCCCAAGCATTTCTCACAATGGCCAGTAGTTCTCACTCAATGCCCCTGGCTCTCACGGCGCCTCAAGCTCACATGTGCTTCCAATTCTCACTTGGTGCCCCCCAGCTCACTCTCAGTGTCCTTGATTCTCTCACAGTGCCCCCCCCCAATTCACCCATGCCCCCAGTTCTTTTAGAGTGCCCCCAGTTTACTCTCAGTGCCCCAAGTTCACTCACAGTGCCCCCAGTTCACCCTCAATGCCCCAAGTTTTCTCACAGTACACCAAGCTCACTCTGGGAGCCCTTGATACTCTCACAGTGCCCCCCAGTTCACACGTTCCTCCAGTTCTTTCAGTGCCCCCAGTTTTCTCACAGTGCCCCCCAGTTAACCCGTGCCCCCAGTTCACTTTTAGTGCCCCAGTTCTCTCAAAGTCTCCCCAGTTCTTTCAGAGTGCCCCCAGTTTACTCTGAGCCCCCAGTTCCCCCTCTAAGCCCTTGATTCTCTCACAGTGCCCCCCAATTCACCCATGCCCCCAATTCTTTTAGAGTGCCCCAAGTTTACCCTCAGCGCCCCCAGTTCTCTCACAGTGCCCCCAATTGACTCTGTGCCCCCAGTTCTCTCACAGTACCCCAGCACACAGTGCCTCCTAGCAGTTACAGTCTCCCATTTCTCACCTTCTCTCTCCAAGGGGGGAAACACCCATAGTGTGCGGTTGTTCACAGCATCCAGTGGCCAGTATCCTCTTGCTCTCAGCTCCCGGCCTCCTTGGATACAGTGCCTGCTGCAATCCCACGCAGCAGCACAGCCCCGTTCTCCACACACAAACTCAGCTTCTGCTACCACCGCCGATTTGGTAATGGTAATGAAGTAGCCCAAACCTAATATTAGACATATTAAGCAGCCTAAACCTAATTTTAGTTGTATTAAACAGGTTTCTTTTATTGCTTATTAAATCAATGAAAAGATAATGCAAAGCAACATTTATTTAAATGTATAAATATACTGTATATTTGGTATCTTCCACTGTTCTCCCCTCGTGTTTGGTGTCACTTGGTATAGCCTCTCCCTGCTTCTTCCACATTCCATCATTGTATCTTCTGGCCCCCAGTGTAGACACTTGGATTGGAAGATCTATGCCTTTTTACACTTCATGTGACCAGCGAACATACTCTGTATGTACTTTAAGAAGTACAACAATGTTGGATTTCAGCTCCTGTGTCTGTGTTTTGGAGAGCTAGGCTGTCTGTGGATGGGTCTGAATCCGCTTGTGACCATACTGCCTGGAAAGCTTGAGGTCCAAAGGAGGTATTCAAAGCATAAAGCGGCTCTTGAAACAGAACACCCACTAACTCTTTGAAAATTGAACAAACGTTCTGCAGATGGATTTTTTGGAACAAACTTCTAATGGCATATGGCCAATTTTAGTTTGCAGGACGTCATGTCAATTCCAACCACAGGACAGTCTTACTTGGAGCAGACATGCATGTTTGTACTAAACGAAGAATGATCCTGCATCATCTGATAAAACCAAGCAGGCTGATTGATCCTCGGAAACAGCTATGAGGTGTCTGCCAAGATCTGATGTTGCAGCTAGACTTTATGAACATTGCCTTACGTTGGTGAAAGTGTAATGATCAGTCATCGATCATCTAGTATCATTCATTCTGTCACTGTCGACCTGTTACAAGGTAGACATGAGATAGTCATTGCATGGTCATGCCTGACCCAACTACAGGACATTTTACTTACTTGTGACTAGGGATCCACCGATACCAAGTACAGTACTCGGTACAAGTACCGATACTTTTCGAGCTCCAAGACTAGACTAGAGCAAAATTCAGAAGCTAGGAGGCAGCTGTCATTTGTACGGAGGACATGGAGCTTCCGGGATTTGTATATCTCTGTTTTATTGTATGGTTTTGTTTTTATAAATATATATTAGGGGATGCACCGATACTAGTTTTGCGAGTACAAGTACTGATACCGGTCCAAGTCCTCACAGATACAAGTACTGATACTTGCCCAAGTCCTCAAGTCCTCACAGATACAAGTACTGATACATTTTTGCTTATTGTCATGTGACAGTTTTTCTAAAACAGACTAATGATTTCAGGACAGTGGTGGAGCGCCAGAGCCCGGTCCCAGCTGCAGCCGCTGCAACCCTGGGAGTTCTCATGAAAATGCCAAGTATCGGCACTGGTACTCGAAAAGTATCGGTGCATCCCTACTTGTGACTAAAGCACAGGCATGAATATGTTTCAAATAAGGAATTATTCTGTAACATAGTAACATAGTATTTGAGGTTGGATAAAGACATAAGTCCATCAAGTCCAACCTATTGCATGCATGTGTATGGTTCTGCTGGTGTGTGCGTATGTATAGGTCCCGGTGTCATCTCATTCTTAAGTGTACCTGTACCCCTGTATGTTATGGTCTCTAAAGAAATCGTCCAAAAGCTTCTTGAATGATTCCACACTCTCAGCTGATATCACTGCTTGTGGCAGCGAGTTCCAGACCCTAATCGCTCTAACTGTGAAGAACCCCCTTCGCCCCTTGTGCTGAAATTGTTTCCCCACCAATTTTAGGTGGTGGCCTCTAGTCTTTTTTATGGAGTTAATCCTAAAGAGTGTGCTGCTAGTGTTGCTATCACCATTGAAAATTTTGTACATAAAAATCATGCCCCCCCTTAATCTCCTTACTTCCAACGAGAACATATTTAAATTTAAAAGCCTTGTCTCATAGCTCTGGTCCTCCATCCCCTTAATGAGTTTGGTTGCCCTCCGCTGGACTCTTTCCAGCTCAAGGACATCCTTTCTGGGGACTGGTAACCAAAACTGGACCGCATACTCAAGATGAGGCCCAACCAGTGATGTGTATTTTCTGACAAATCTAAGCAGGCTGATTGGTCCCCTTCAAGAACTGTGAGGAATCTACAAGATCAGACGTGTAGACTTTCCAGTCATTGCCATACTTTGTTTAAATTGTCAGGATCAATCATTGATCATCTGATCTCAGTGAGCATGTTTAGTGCTTTGCAGGCTCGTTTGGTTCCTTTGGTTGGTTTCTCTGTTGACCTCTTCCCTCTTTGTAAATGCTGCTTTAAACCAGAAGCAATGATCACTTTGTCCTGTTATGTGGGACAGATAAAGGAAAGCATTAAGTCCACCATGTTCTGCACGATGATCTTGCCGGGGTGGATGGATTTTGTCATGTAGTGGCAGGAGGTCATCTGCCAGGCATCCAGTATGGTAACTGGAAGTCCTGAAAACACTTCCCTCATCAATGTGTCCAGCTGCCAGGATAGCCAGTCACTGCCATGGGTAGACAGGAACCCCGTGTTCCCGGACTTAATTATGACCAAGGTCTGTGGACTGCGCTCCAGTAGTCTGGCCACGGCATCACGGATGGTTATCATCCTTCTCAAATAAACATTGACTGGGAAGAAGATAAAATGAGCCAAGCAGTTTATAACGATCACCAGTCCATCGTCTCCTCCTCCCATGTTATCCAGCTCGTTGGCAATGTACTTCAGTTCCTGCACGCGGGTGCGCTTCATGCTAAGTGGCCTCTGGTGTGCCCGCCACTCCACGAGGTAGCTGTGTTCTGCATCCGTGGCCAACAGGGGGCCGGGGGCATAGCTAACATGGAGGTTCACCCTCTGAAGTGCTGTAACAATAACAGTAAAAACATTTCAATATACAAAGTCATATAGTCAAATCTTGTCTCAAAGTATCACCCTAACCGTCCCCTCCGCTCATCCCAAGACCTCCTGCTTTGCAGCTCCCTTGTCAACTCCTCCCATACTCGCCTCCAGGAGTTCTCTAGAGTCTCTCCCATCCTCTGGAACTCTTTACCCCAACCTGTCCATCTATCTCCCGCCTTGACTGCCTTTAGGCGTTCCCTTAAGACTCATCTCTTCAGGGAAGCCGATCCCACCTCAACCTAACCGCTCAACACTCACGTTCTCAGACAATTCATCCCCACACAGCTCCCTCCTCATGTATAATTTCCCCTTCTCTTTCAGATTGTAAGCCCTCAGGGGCAGGGCCCTCCTTACCATCTTGTCTTGAATTGTATTGTGATTGTAATGTCTTCCTTATATTGTAAAGCGCTGCGCAAACTGTTGGCGCTATATAAATACTATGTAATAATAATAAGATAGATTATATCATAATTTAAAGCCGAATTACAAGCCCTCCCTTCTTCTGCCCCTGTCTCCTTTTTTTTATTTAATTCTTCCCCTTATTTTGTTGTTTTTAGGCTGGTCACACGCTGCACAAGATCCTCTTTGACTTTTCTCAGGAGATTGGTGGTCCTCATTGATTAGTGCCTTCTCGGTTTCACTGTATTGTAAGTGGGGAGTGCCCCCCAAGAAGTGTGTCCTTCAACCCATGCACTCCCAGGAAGTGGATTGAATGATAATAGGTGTCATTCAGCCCAAAAGAGAAGTGCCATCGAGGGCCGTTAAGAAGTTAATGCTTGGGACAGTACCTGAGAGGAGGTGAGCATTGCAGCCAGAACTGCTTTTCAATTTTTATAATGGCTCAGCCACTGGAAAAAAAAAGTCTGCCAGCATTCTGCCGCTTCCAAATGCAACCGCTATTACCCGATCATTAACTTGAACGGGTGACAGCTGCTGCTAGTGAATGGCAGATTTGGGGTTCCTGCTGCAGGATATCGCATGTTCCTGATGCAGAAATCCCTAAACGCTCCTACCTTGAAGGTGTGAATGTAGCCTTTGGCTTAGGGTTGGAGTTACAAGGAGGGTTATGTCACACTTACCAAGTGTTCTGTGCCAGGTCTACCCCTCTTTCCTAGGTGCTTGGCTTCCAGCCTACTACAGGTCATAGGCCTACAGCCTATCTGGTCTCCACCTCTGCTGTTTAGTGTTATTACACCTGTTGCTCGGGGTTCGAGCAACGTATCTTCAAACCAGCTGCTGGACCCCCCTGTGTCCCTGGTGATCATACTTTGTGTTTCCTGAGATATCCAGTGATTCCAAGTTTCCCTGTACTTTCTAGAATTCCAGTGTTTCCAAGTTTCCTGTGTACCCCTGAGTATTTACGCTTTGGCTGTTTTCCCTGTTTTACTGTTCTGTGTCCCAGTGATGTTCTGATTTCCCTGTGGATATTGCGTCCCTTCCTCACTTTCATCTGTGTGCTGTGAGTCGTCTGTATTGTTGGCACCGCTACACTGCTTCAATGTTCCCACACTCCAGCCCTGTCTGCCTGCTCTTCCCCAGTGTACTACGCACCTCTTCCAGTGTATCTTGCACTTCAGTGGATTGCGCGTTGCTTGTATTTGTATCCTGAACCTCGTGTAACGCGTTCTCCCTTGTGTGTATCCGCCACTTTATCCTGAACATTGTGTGTATCCTTCTGGATATCCAGAACCTCTGTGACACGCGTTCCCGGTGTGCACTCTTCTGTGTATCCCAACCAGTGCACTAGTGTCATGTATTCTGTGTGGACCCAGTCCTCTTCTCCTGTGTGTTGTAACTCCCCAATGTACCCTGCATCAGTGTGTCTTATACCTCTGTGGTCAGGGGTGTAACTAATCACAGGGCCCCATAGCAAAATATTGTGATTCCTCCTCCTCCTCCGCTGCTGACACTGGGCCCAGCCTCCTCCTCTGCTGCCGACGCCGGGCCCAGCCTCCCCCTTCACAGCTGCTGGCGGTCACTGACTCAGCAGCGGCTGTGAGGAGGAACGTGGAATGGGCCGCTGCAGAGATCACAGGTTGTCAGTGATCTGGACAGTGGCGTGCTCCTCCTCACAGTCGCCAGTGCCAGCCAGCAGCCTGCGATGCCATAGTGACCCAGGTGGCCCGCACGGCATCAGGGGGACCCCTTTGTTCCTCATCCTGGCTGGGCCCCGCTGTGCCCCGGGCCCCATAGTGGCCGCCTAGGTCGCTATGGCAATAGTTCCGCCACTGTCTGTGGTGTATCTGTTCTCTTGGTGTTCTCCTGCTGCAATCTTCCTGTACCTCTTGCTTAAAGTCTCTTGTTTTACTGGCCCCTGAGTCCTGGGTCCAAGTGCTGTTCTGTCTTTCCATTCCCATTGTAATTGTCAGCTGAATCTGCAGGGGTGTGGTAGAGGGCCGCAACCTGGGAGCTGTCCTGCAGCAAAACATCCCCATAAAAAAAATAATGCAAAAACGACTCTGGCAGTGAAAGTGTTAAGGTAAATTGCACATGGGCAGGGATGTCCATAGTACAAAGTGCGGTCCCTAACTCCAGCCTAACAACAGAATTCCCACCTTGAGACATATAAAGCAATGTAAAAAATGAGAGCAGGCATGCCTAGAAGCAACTGTATGCAGCTAAATCCTCGAATTCACACAAATTAGAAACAAATTAAACAAATTAGGAACAGCTTAGACTTTGCCGGCTAACTGGGAAGCGTGTTGGGGAAAACATTTGTGTATTGTTCTGTAGACAGGCCATACCCACTTTAAAAGCTAGACGAAAATTGGATGCCATTTATTATTAGTGTTGCAGTATGGGTTACATGGGGGAGATCTCACCCTGCAGCGCCCTCAGGCGACCGCTTGCCTTGCGGTAGCGCCGGGCCTAGTTATAGGGAGGATAAGTGTTAGGGTTGTAGGAAAGCTTAGGGTTAAGGTTGCAGGGAGGGACAGGGTTAGTGTTTGTGTTATGAATAGGGTTTGGGTCAGGTTTGAAGGGAGGGTGGGTGCTAGGTCTACAAGGAGGGCTAATGCTAGAGTTTACAGGAGGGTTAGTGTTATGGTTGGGGTTACAGAGGTTTTTTTTTGGTCTTAGAGAGGATTATTGTTATGGATAACATGGATGGTTAGTGGTAGGGTTAGCGCTATGGTTGGGTGTTGAAGGGAGAGTTAATGTTAGGTTGTGGGCTACAAAGAGGTTAGTGTTAGGAATACTGTTACTGGAAGGGTTAGAGTTGGGGTTATATGGAGGGTTAGTGATAGGTTTGGGTTTAAAGAGAGTGTTATTATTAGGGTTACACAGAGGGTTAGTGTGAGAACTGGGGTTATAGGGAGAGTTAGTGTTAGGGTTGGTGTTACAGGGAGAGTTAGAGCTGAGGTTACATGGAAGGTTAGTTGTAGGTTTGGGTTTACAGGGATGGTTTGTGTTAGGGTTGGTGTTACAGGAAGGGTTAGATTTAGAGTTGGGGTTACATGGAAGGTTAGTTGTAGGTTTGGGTTTACAGGGAGGGTTTGTGCAGTGGCGTAACAACCGGGGGGGCAGCAGGGGCGCGGGCCCCGGGCGAAAAGTGAAGGGGGGGCGCCGGCCGAAAATTGCACTTTCGGCTAAATGCCGAAAGTGACATTTGCCTGCCGTTTTGTCGGCGCGGCCGTGATTCCTTTCATCCCCGCTGGGACACAGAGCAGTGCCCAGCAGGGATGAAAGGAATCAGAGAGAAAATGACAGCCGGCCGAGCGCTGCGGGACGAGCGCTGTGAGCGGCCGGTGTCTTTCCTCCCACACCGCTCGGCCGCCTATCACAGTGCAGCAGAGCGGTGTGGGGGCGGAGACAGCCAGCGCTGTCACAGGAGGCTGGGCTCTCCTCTTGCAGCCTCCTATGACAGTGTGTGTCAGAGAGGAGAGCGGGTACAAGCAGTGTGTGATCAGTGATCGCTGATTGTTTGTAGTGAGAGTTAGAGCTGAGGTTACATGGAAGGTTAGTTGTAGGTTTGGGTTTACAGGGAGGGTTTGTGTTAGGGTTGGTGTTACAGGAAGGGTTAGATTTAGAGTTGGGGTTACATGGAAGGATAGTGGTAGGTTTGGGTTTAAAGGTAGGGTGTATTAGGGTTACACGGAGGGTTAGTGTGAGAACTGGGGTTACAGGGAGGATTATTGTTAGGGGTTTATGTTTAGGGTTGGTGTTACAGGAAGGGTTAGATTTAGAGTTGGGGTTACAGGGAGAGTTAGTGGTAGGTTTGGGATTACAGGAAGGGCTATTGTTAGGGTTGCTATTACAGGGAGGGTTAGAGCTAGAGTTGGAGTTACATGGAAGGTTAGTGGTAGGTTTGGTTTGCAGGGAGGGTGATTGTAAGATTCAAGGGGAGAGTTGGTGTAAGAATTGGTTAGGGAGGGTTAGGGTTGAAGTGAGGGTTAGGGTTGAAAAGAGGGTTAGGGTTAGGTATACAGGGAGGGTCATTGTTAGGGTTGGTGTCAGTAGTAGTGTTGTAAAGCATTAAGGTACGTCAATGCTCTCAGTGTTAGGAGCTCTGTGTCAAAAACTAGCAGAACTGAGCTCCTGGGGCAGAGAGGTAATGTATCACTTACATCTGAGCTGGACTTCAGTGATTTCCTTATCTGTCATTTTTTGGCCCCATTAGGAGACCAAGTCATATTTATAACAGCAGCAGACACCTGCTGGCGTATTGCTCTCAATAGTGAGATATCTGGATACCCTTGGCCCATTCCTCTCTCCTCAGTGCAGTAAACATCCATGCTCCTGAGTGCTTCACCAATATTTGCATATCTGACCAAAGAGCCCAGTAGATACAGTGCATTATGGGACCTCATGTCAAATCTGAATACATTTAAAGAAAAAGGAGAGCAGTGTGACCTGTGATTCATCACATGGGAAAATGGTTGGTAGACAATTTGAACAGAAACTTAACGTAAAGTGAATTTGGAAGATGCAGGAGGATATTATGAAATGTAGGCACTAAAGTAGAACTCACAAGGAACAAATTCCACCAGGTATTCCCACAATTGCCGTAGTGTTGAGTCCCCAAACATGTACACGACTTTCCCCTTCAGACAGGAGGTGACGTTGGCGGGTGTGGGGAAATTCTGGTTCCTGCAGACACGGGAATGCCACTTGTCCTGGTAATAATACCCCGATGGGTCTGGATTTGGTATGCTGCGTCTACAGATATCTCTGTCATCTGAAACATCAAATCATCAATAGTTTAGGTATCTTTGTAATTATAGAAACAATCCATACCTAATTTAGAGTTCAGGTTATGGTGGAAGATGGAAGTTTATGCCAAGTTACAGTTTCTAAGATCTGTTCTAGGACTTCTGTGTTGAGATCTCTGCAGGTCTACCTTCCTTCCATTGCTGAGGGGCTACCACTCTATAATTCGCAATGTAGTTTGCATTATAAAAGGAGGTGTGTGTATAGACAGCTTTTATGTGTTTTAGACAATATTTTTCACTGGATCACCATACTATATAGTACTGTTAGTGTCCGGCCTCACACCATTGCATTTGCAGCAAATAAATGAATAGACCTCCCAGTAATTCTATTACTATACTGCACCTAGGGGGATGTCTAACGATTTATACTGTGATCACAGGAGAGTAATACCATCAGGCTCACAATAAACTCAGAATGCAAGTGAGCAACACATTGGTCTGTACTCTCATTTGCCTTATTCGGGTACTTTGGGCTGCACCCTTGTTATACTTTGCACTCAGATCACCGACAATCCCGTAACATTTGGAGGCTTCGTCTGGGAGATCACAAAGCTGGAAGCTGCTATTACAGTTCAGTGGGAGAAGACCTTAGTGAGGTGGCACAGAACACAAAATGGCTGATCCAACACCAGTAAAGAAACTACAGTGGCACATTCAGAAGCTATTGCACACATTGTGTCAGGAACCGGATCTGAACCCAGGACCTCTGCTGTAGCTGGCAGTGGTTCTACCTGCTGAACCACCTTAGAACCTTGGATAGCTCCTTGCCTGATCTACTGTTGTAATGCTCAGTTATACCCAGTTTCTGCTGAACTCTGAACTCCTCCCTTGAACTTCCTATTTAAGCCACGCCTCTGCACTTCCTGTTTGCCAGATTATTGTGCTCCTGCCAACATATTGCTTCCTGCTCCCTCTGTGCTACAATCTACTCATACTGCTACCTGTGTACCGACCGTTGGCTGCTGATTCACCGACTACTCTCATCGTCTTCTGCTTCATACCTGATACCTTTGGCTCCTGACCTCGGCTTGTTCGCTGACTACGCTTCTGCCTGCTCCTATATTACTACCGTCTGCTTGTGTACCGAACCCGGCCTGTTATACCACGAATGTGCCTGCTGTTTCAGCTACTGGACTCTGAGCCTGATCCCAGATCATGACACATTGTCTGAGAATCAGCGGCCCTCACTGTCTGTCTTAATGCAGGAGAAAGAAGGTAAAGATGTTCCTCGAGCCACAGGTTCAAGTGAGATGGAGGTAAGTACATCATGGAACACCTGCAAGGGTAAGAAGTATGCAGTGTGGAGCACAGAGGTATGGCTTACTTGCTCCAAGTAAAAGGACAGGTTTGGTCTTCGATACGTGAAAGCAGCTCTGAAAATCCTAATGTAAATGAGGTAGGAGATCATGAACCACCCCTCAGAGAGGACAGACCACCGCAATCAACTGAAGGTGGGTTCACATTAAGGGACATAGCAGCATGCCTGCCAAAAAAGGAATTTAGAATTTACAGTGGGCAGATGTCAAACTGGGACTCTGAAATTACCTACAGCCATATCTGTAAATGGATTGATGAATGTGTGAAAACATACCCAGAGATAGAATTCATCAGAACTGTGCTAAAAAAAAAATCATAAAACCTGGACCCTTTAAAGAGATGTCTGTGAGGGTGATCATTCATCCAGGTCATGGTATATCTGTAAAAACAAGTTGGTGCTGCTTTCGCTTAAGATAAGAACCTGATAAGTGTACAAAAATGCAACAATACAAAATGCAACAAACACTTGCTGGGAAGAGTCAAGGAAGAGGTGTCATCCTTGACTCGGACCTCACCTTTCTTCCCCACATCCAATCACTATCCAAATCCTGCCGCCTTCACCTTCGTAACATCTCAAAACTACGCCCCTTCCTCACCAATGAAACCTCAAAATTACTCATCCACTCCCTTGTTATATCTCGTATTCTCTCCGCCCCCGGCTATATCTCAAACCTGGTCTCAAAGTATCACCGAATCCGGCGGCTCCGCTCATCCCGAGAACTCCTGCTTTCCAGCTCCCTTGTCAACTTCTCCCATGCTCGCCTCCAGGACTTCTCTAGATGTCTCTCCCATCCTCTGAAATTCTTTACCCCAACCTGTCCGTCTGTCGCCCACCTTGACTGCCTTTAGGCATTCCCTAAAGAGTCATCTCTTCAGGGAAGCCGATCCCACCTCAACCTAACCGCTCAACCATCACGTTCTCAAACAACTCATCCCCACACAGCTCCCTCCTCCTGTATCACTTCCCCCTCCCTTTTAGATTGTAAGCTCTCAGGGGCAGGGCCCTCCTTACCATCTTGTCTTGATTTGTATTGTGATTGTAATGTCTTCCCTATATTATATTGTAAAGCGCTGCGCAAACTGTTGGCGCTATATAAATCCTGTATAATAATAATAATACAAGAGTCAATAACCTCTGCAAAAGAGGAGGGAGAAATTGGATGCATTCTTAACTTATATCTTAAGATTCAACTTGATGTATACGACACCAGTGCAAAAGTCTTCATTCCAAAAACTCTGTACCAGGAAGTAAAAAAGTACATGAAGAAGTTGTTAGAAAGGGGATGGATACACAAGTCCAAAAGGACTTTACTCGCCCCCCCTGGAGTTCGTGTAAGAAATAAAGATGGGAGCTTGAGACTATGAGTAGACTTCAGATAGCTAAATAGGAAGACTATACCTGATGGGCACCTCTTGCCATGAGTTCAAGACCTACTAGACAATTGGAGTGGCCACTCCTGGTTCTCTATTTTAGATTAGGGAAGTGTTTACCACCAAGGTTTTATTTCTGAAGAGTCAAAGTGTATGACAGCATTTAGTACACCCTGGGGCTTACATGAATGGGTGAGGATTCATTTTGGTCTAATGAACGCACCAGCAGCTTTTCAAAGATGCCTAGAAGAGACCATGGAGGAACTAAGAGATGAATGCTGTTCACCTTATCTGGATGATATTCTGTTATTCCAAGACCTTTTCAGAACACCTTGAAGTACTGAGAGGTTTTTTTTTTATATAAGCTGCATGCACATGTGATAAAGCTGAGAGCAAACAAGTGTGAACTTTTTAAAATAGAAGAATCCTTGGTAGACTTGTTTCAGGTAATGGCATTCAAAGGATACAGAAGCAGTAGATGCACTCAGAAAGAAGACAAAAAAGACAATGGGCGAAGTGAGAAAATTACTTAGGTTTTTAAGCTATTATGGATGTTTCATGTATAGCTAGACCCCTCTGACGTACTACAAATCAAAAGAGAGTATATAGGGACAGAAAAGGGGGATACTGTAAATAGGAAGACATCTGTAAAGACATGAACAGCTCAGCAGCTGCCCTCTGGGACACCAATCCAATGGATACCAGAACACCAAAAGGTTGTTGACACGCTAATACTTATATTAACCAAACCCCCAATCCTTGCTTATCCTGACTTAAACTCACCATTTGATTTACATACGGATACATCGCAGGATAGGCTAGGCGCAGTGCTTAAGTACAGGTAATAAGCTCTGGTTCACAAACACCGATGCCAACTGAGAAAAATTACCATTTGCATTCAGGGAAATTAAAGTCCCTAGCCCTAAGGTTGTCCATTTGTGAGAAGTTTAGGGACTACCTGTCCTATGCCCCCTCTTTTACCATCTTTACAGACAGCAACTAAGAACATATGTCAATGTATGTTCTTAGCTCAGCAAGACTAAACATTGGAAATCGCTGGGTAGGGCAGTTGGCTGACTTCTGCTTTGACAGCAAGTACCACCCAGGGCAAAAAAATGCAGGTGCTGATACCCAGGGCCTGATTTCTGGCAAGGCCACCGAGACCCGGCCTCTGGGCTGCAGGGGTGTAGAATCTCCCAACTCCCGGGACATGCAGTTCTGGCGGTAGGTTGTTTTCTACATTTAGCCCTGCTTTGGGCAAGCAGGGCTAAATGTAGAGCGGGGAAGCTGCTGGTTCATTTACAAGTGATCTCAGCAATGTCGCCAAGCCAGAATTGCAACCAGAGGAGGAAGGAGCTGCACCAACTTCTAATGAAACAGTGAGGGAAGGGAGCCTCTCCTCTGAACAACGTTTTCCTCAAAGAATAAGAAAACCAAAAGGAGATATTGACATATGAGACACTAGGTAACACGTTTCAAAAGGGGGATGTTTCCATACATATGATTGAACAGTGCTGTGACGCCCTCAGACATAAAATGGCCAATATTTACATCACTAGAAGTTCCCTCGTGTCCATATTTTTTGCCAGGAACATATTCCCATAGTTAATTAGATGATACAAGCTATAAATAAATGTCATTTATTATAACTGTCAGGTGGCATTTATTTAAAGAGGGGAAGTATGTAGCAGGTAAATGAATAGACCTCCCAGCAATGCTTTTACTAGGCTGCAGCCAGGGGGAGCTCTAGAGTGTGATCACAGGAGAGTAATACCTCAAGTTAAAGGGTAATTCCACTTTCCTAGGTGAGTTTGGGATAATGGAATTGCGCTCCCAATCTGCTCCCCCTCCTCCCCCTGCTATACTTACCTTTGGGCAACCGCTCCTTTTCCCTCCGCCGGGGCGTGCATACTATTGGTACCCTGTACTGTCTTGTAGTGCATCCCTCAGCTATGTAGTTTGAATTTTGTTTGCAAATGGCGAGCACTCATTAGTCAGCATGATGAGCTGACTGATGAAAAGTGCTTCTTGCTAAGAAGCGCTTCTCATTGGTCAGCGCAGTCAGTGACCACCCTGACCAATAAGTGCTTGCCAAGTTCAAAATACAGAGCACAGTGCTGCGCTGATGACAGTACAGGGTACAGGTAATACACTTGCAGTGGTGGAGGGGAAGGAGCATTCTCCCAAAAGGTAAGTATAGCAGAGTGGGGAGAGGGGGACAGATTGGAGGTAGTAATTCCATTTTCCCATATTCATCTAGCAAAGTGGAATCACCCTTTAAACTCAGAATGCAAGGGAGCAATGCATTGTTCTGTGCTCTCTTTTGCCTTATACAGTTACTCTAGGCTGCATCCTTGATATACCTTGCACTCAGATCACCGACAATTCTGTAACACATTCACATGTGCACGTCACTGCAAGTGTTTCAGCAAAGTATGCATGGCACCCCAATGCACTAAGACAATGGACCTGCTTTTGCAGTGCACTCCAATGTTTGGTAATGCATTTCCATGTGTTGTGGTGTGCTGTGTTTGTAAAAAAAAGGGGTCAGATCTGGTTTTCGGGCACCTGGGTACGTTGACAGCCCATTCAAAATAATTGGGCTGCCTTAATGCAATGCACACGGCACCACAATGGTGTGATGGGTCCTCTATATCCCAACTCCACCCTCCTGTAACTTGTCGTAACTAGGTTACATTTAAAAATAAGCAAAGTTCCCCGAAAATACGGAATCCCAAAATAAGAGCTGTCTATAATAATCAAACAGGTAATGATAATGTAACAAATTTTAATGAGAATTAATAATAAAGTAGAACATATAAATACACCTACTGACAAAGAACATCTAAAATCAATTAAAATGACAAACAAGTCCTCCCTGATATAGCCCTGTGTTGATTGATGTAGATAAGAATCTAGTGACCGTTAGTGATGGTCACAAAGAGTCACTGATATTGGACACAAGCGCTGTGTTAGGCAAGCAAATACTCAGTATCAAAGAAGAGAAAAAAAGAAGGAATTACTCACTTCCGATGTGGTTTAGGTGGGGAGACAGTTCCTAACAAAAAAGACTTCAAGCATGCATGAGGTAATGGTCACAATGGCTGTCCCAGACTGCTGGTCCCCGGATTCAGCAAATTTCTTTGATACTGAGTATTTGCTTGCCTAACACAGCGCTTGTGTCCAATATCAGTGACTCTTTGTGACCATCACTAACGGTCACTAGATTCTCATCTACATCAATCAACACTGGGCTATATCAGGGAGGACTTGTTTGTCATTTTAATTGATTTTAGATGTTCTTTGTCAGTAGGTGTATTTATATGTTTTTCTACTTTATTATTAATTCTCATTAAAATGTGTTACATTATCATTACCTGTTTGATTATTATAGAAAGCTCCTATTTCGGGATTCTGTAGTTTCGGGGAACTTTGCTTATTATAGATTGACGCTGGAACCCAGGAGTTTTTTGTCCACTTTATTGTTATTTGAGGCGCTTCTCCTTTCCCCATTTGTTATTACATTTAAAAATAATTGAATTCTCTGAATTCTTACTTAAGTTGTTAATTCTGATCTTACCAGTGCCGTTCTTCTGGGGCAGGACAGTAAAATCTGGGAGGGCTGATGAAATCACCTGATTGGTGACAGAGCTGTCAGAATGGGAAATGAGACAGAAATCAAATGACGGAATCTTAGAACCATCCTGGCAAATATCTGATGTTTAAAGTGTACAGTATGTCTGGCCAAAATAAAATAAAAATATTCAGTTCATCTCCGCTATACATGCACATTTCCCCACTTTAACCTCTTGCTCCCGACCCTTTAACTGTTACGTAGTGTCGGTAGCCTGGGGAGCGGTTTCCCGATCATGATTGGCCATCACACGATTGGGAGCCCATCCCCGGCTTACAATAATTAACAGTGACTGGATGCTGTCGGTGACAGATCAGTGGGCAGATATATGTGGCAGCCCAGCGTTAAAGTCCTCCTCCGTGGTGCCACATATACAGTTAGGTCTGGAAATAATTGGACATTGACACGCGTTTTGGTATTTTGTCTGTTTACCAAAATTAATTCATACAGTTAAATAAAGAATCTGGGATTAAAGTGCAGTCTCTCAGCTTTAAGTTGAGGGTATACACTTCCATATTGGAGGAAGGGTATAGGAATGACCTTCTTTATTACGTAGACCCCTTTTTTTTCAGGGGACCAAAAAGTAATTGGACAATTGGCTCAGAATCTGTTTCACGGACAAGGGTGGGCTATTCCTTCATTATTTCATCATCAAGTAGGTAAAAGGTCTGGAGTTGATTCCAGGTGTGGCATTCACATTTGGAAGCTGTTGCTGTGAACCCACAACATGTGTTCAGAGGAGCTCTCAATGCAAGTGAAACAGGCCATTCATAGGCTGCAAAGAAAAGAAATCCATCAGAGAGATAGCGGGGACATTAGGAGTGGCCAGATCAACAGTTTGGTACATTCTGAGGATAAAAAGAACGCACGGGTGAGCTTCTCAACACAAAGAGGCCTGGACATCCACAGAACACAACAATGGTTTATGGTCATAGGATCCTTTCCATGGTAAAGAAAAACACCTTCACAACGTTCAGCCAAGTGAAGAACACTCTCCAGGAGGTAGGCATATCATCATCCAAGTCTACCATAAAGAGGAGACTTCATGAGGGCAAATGCAGCGGGTTCCCCACAAGGTGCAAACCATTCATAAGCTTCAGGAATAGAAAGGCCAGATAAGTCTTTGCCCAAAAATATCTAAAAAAGCCAACCCAGTCCTGAAACAGCATTCTTTGGACAGATGAAACTAAGTACAACCTGTATGATGATGATGGGAAGAAGAAAGTATGGAGAAGGCTTGGAACGGCTCATGATCCATCATCTGTACAACACAGTGGAGGCAGTGTGATGGCATGGGCATGCGTGGCTTCCAACGGCACTGGGACACCAGTGTTTATTGATAATGTGACAGAAGACAGAAACAGTCTGCTCAGGTTCAGTCAAATTCAGAGAAGTTGATTGGACGGCGCTTCACTATATATATATGGACAATGACCCAAAACATTCTGCAGAAGCAACCCAGGAGTTATTTTAAGGCAAACAAGTGGAATATTCTGCAATGGCCAAGTCAATCAGCCGATCTCAACCTGGTCAAGCGTGCATTTCACTTCCTAAAGACAAAACTTAAAGGAGAACTATGAGGTGAGTGCTTTTCACTCACCTCATAGTTCTATCCGACCTGTGACAATGAGACTGTCACAGGTCGGCTCAGTAGATTGGGAGGTGAGCGAACACATACCGGCGTTCGCTCACTTCTCGATCCTGTCACGGCTCTCTGCCGTGACAGGGGAGGGACTGGATTCCCCCCTCCCCGTTCCGATCCTCCAGCGCTGACTGGCGGAACGGACGGGGGAGGGGGCGGGTTACAGCTGGCTCTGCCTCTAGATAGGCAGAGCCAGCTGTCACTCACGCAGCTGGGCGGATCCAGACATAATTGTCAGGATCCGCTTCAGCTGCGGCGTCTCGGCTAGTTTGTGTCCTCCCGTTACCCTTAGGAGAACTATGGGGAAAAGTCCTAACCCCATAGTTCTCCTTTAAGGCAGAAAGACCCGCAACCAAGCAACAATTGAAGACAGCTGCGATACAGGCCGGGCAAAGCACCACAAAGGAGGAAACCCAGCGTTTGGTGATGTCAATGCATTCCAGACTTCAAGCAGTCATTGCCTGCAAAGAATTCTCGACAAAATATTAAAAAGTAACATTTTCTTTATGATTGTGTCCATTTGTCCAATTACATTTGAGCCCCCTGAAATAAGGGGACTGTGTATGAAAATGGTTGTAATTCCAAAACGTTTCATGTGATAGTTTTGTTCATCCCCTTGAATTAAAGATGAAAGTCTGCACTTCAATTGCATCTCGGTTGTTTAATTTCAGATCCATTCTGGTGGCGTACAGAGCCAGAACTATGAAAATTCTGTCAGTGTCCAATTATTTCAGGACGTAACTGTATTTGCCGGGGGGAAAAAAAATACTTGTTTATCTGTCATAAATTCTGTGAGCTCTACCTGTAGTAGGCTGACAACACCCTGGGATCTATTTATAGGCAATTTGCAGTGCCCTTCACCCATCCAATATCTGTGAATGTTCATTTTGGGTGAATAATGCCAAAACTAAATGTTCTTGATATTTTTTTTACCAGTTTGCATGTAGTTCTGTAATAATACAATATGGGCACCAGATGGCTCTTCCCAGTTTGAATGTAGACTGTTGTAATATTACATTATGTTCACTAGATGGAACTGAGAAGCATAGGAAATAAATACTACTGCGGCCGGATGCTGTGATGTTTTCGGGAAGCTATGCCCAGCACCCTGCCAGCCCCTCCCACCATCCACGATCTGCCAGCATTGCAAACCGCAATGTAGGCAACTACAACCACCCCCACTATAGATATATATGGGCTTCAAGCTATAATCTTGTTTCAGTGTCTAAGGTGCCACAACCTCTGTAAATAACTCTTACCTTTCTAGAAACTTTCCCTCAGCAGAGGTAAGTATTTCGCGATGGCCACCATTAGAATGCTCCAGGTACGTGCTGCAGGGAAAACCTTCTGGACGCACACAGAACCATTCCTCCCCGGTTTGTGAATCACGGTAAGTACAAACGTCCCGTCCAGGAGGATGAAAATTACACTCCACCGTGGCCCATCTCCCGTTATGGTAGAAATACCCGTAATAAAACACCTGAACAATACAAACAGCTGCCATCAACACTACAAATGTATTGCGCTGTACATTCCAGACGCAGGCCATTCCTGAGGAGTTCTGTGAATGGGCGGTGGAGAGTCTGTCATTCAGCTGCTCCTCCTCCATTCAAAGAATTCGATGCATCGTGGGATAGTAAACGACACTTTAAAAGCCTACACAGGTCATAAATTTAGAGTTAACCATGAATATTGGCCCTAGAATTATTGCTCTCACTCTGGTGCATGTGGTGATACCTAACAAGTGTGGTGCAATTATCCTTTTCATATGTAGATGCACCCAATATACTGTATGCTTGCGTCAGTTCACAGGGGCGGGGGACTTGGGACTTTTTTGGGTGCTTTTACATTCATTTTATTTCATTTTTACTTCATTGCTATGACATCAGGGGGCTCACAAGCCCCCTATGTGATAGCATATTACTGGTGACAGGTTTCTCTTTAAGGAGACATTAGGGGTCTATTAGACTCCTAATGTCACCTTTGCACTTCAGTAAAGTGGATCAAGCACAGATTGTGTTTGGTCAGCTTCTTCCCCGGGTTCTCTTGCCAGAGAATGACGGCTCAGAAGCTGGAAGTGATTAAATGGATGTTGCTTCCAGTTTCATTCAGTGGGGAGGAGATCAGCGAACCCACATTCACTGCTCTTTCTTCCCGCTACCCGCTGACACCAACGATCTTGGTCCTGGGCCCACATGAGGGGCAGCAGAGCCCGGAAAGCAAGGCAAGCCATGAGAGGTGCATAGGAATAACCATAGTTTCTCACCTTATCAGGACGAGTTTCTCTCTTCCTCTTCAGGATGGCGATGGCCTCACTGGAATGGACGAGCAAGATATAAATCTCAGAGACCCCGGCCCACGGAAGGAGAAAGGTGGCGGTGTAGGTGCCATTTCTGTGGTCAGTGATGGAGCCAGTTACTCCAGCCTTCAGATTCAGAGCGTGAAGCTTGGCCTGGAAAAAATCCCCTCCGTAGGTTTTGGGTTGGCCATAGTGGTCTCGAGCCCTAATAAAAACCTTTACATACTCCCCCACGTGGTATGTAATACCTGGGTCCAGCAGTGAGCACACGGTGGTCTTTGGGCTGGTAGATGACATGAAACTGGTAGCATTGGGAGGTTCTGGCCATGCGAGGGGTTTAAGGAACTTCTGGATCTCTTCTGTTTTAGAGTCTTGGGATGTCATTGGGGTTGTTTCAGGAGAATGATAACTCTTGGGTGGAGGCGGGTGCCATTTGTTCTTGGGTGTGAACAAGATTAACCTGTACAAAGCCTTAAAGGAAACAAAATGAGATCAGCAGGGCACATAATGTATTTTCCAAAAACACGGGTATTCTATTATTCACGGATGCTTTCATGAACATGCAGACAGATGACTTCAAGCAGAACTACCTTTTTATTGCACATACTGGAACATTAACAGGTTAAAAGAGCGCATGCAGACTTGCACATTTGTGATTCTTGTGGCTTCTTCAATATGTTACCCAGCTACAGTTCAGGTGTAGCAGCAGGACTAGGGATTCTCTAGGATTGTCTATGGCCTCTTGGATTGTCTATGACCTCTTGGATTGTCTATGACCTCTTGGATTGTCTATGGCCTCTTGGATTGTCTATGGCCTCTTGGACTGTCTATGGCCTCTTGGATTGTCTATGACCTCTTGGATTTTCTATGACCTCTTGGATTGTCTATGACCTCTTGGATTGCCTAGGGCCTCTTGGATTGTCTATGGCCTCTTGGATTGTCTATGACCTCTTGGATTGTCTATGGCCTCTTGGATTGTCTATGGCCTCTTGGATTGTCTATGACCTCTTGGATTGTCTATGACCTCTTGGATTGTCTATGGCCTCTTGGATTGTCTATGGCCTCTTGGACTGTCTATGGCCTCTTGGATTGTCTATGACCTCTTGGATTTTCTATGACCTCTTGGATTGTCTATGACCTCTTGGATTGATCTCTGCTGTCACGATGCTCCTTCATTTGCATACAGGCTCGAGAGTAGTGTGGCTCCTCCTAGTCCTGCCCTGTGTTCACTCTTCTTGCTTGATTGACAGATGTAATAATTAAAGAAAGTGACAAGTAGCTGATAAACCAGCAGGAGAAAGGGAGGATTAGGGTGGGGATAGAACCTCCCTATTACACGCTGAGTTCCTGGCAAATAACAAAAATTGTCTGACCCCAAGGAAATGATTGCATCACTTCCTCTAGGTGGAGACACCGCATTTATCACCTCCCACTGATGCTGAAGTACAGACAAAGCCAAAAGACATACAGATAATATGAAATATGGATTTAGTAAAGAGTAACGCAGATTTGCAAGTGCGCATGCATGCACTATTTTAAACTTGCAATTGTTTGCACACATTGGTGTACATGTGCGCTAATGCAAGGTTTAAACTCTGCATGCGGCTGTGCTGTGCTCATGGATGTATGCCATCCAATGCAAGCATGCATGTGAGATTTGGAGTGCAACTCAGGTGTGCGTTATCAATTGATAGAGGGAATCAATAAGATGTGATATCAGTTGATAGGGGGAATTAATAAGAGGTGATATCAATTGATAGGATGAATTAATATGAGGTGATATCAGTTGATAGGGGGAATCAATAAGATATGATATCAGTTGATAGGGGGAATCAATAAGATGTGATATCAGGATATCAGTTGATAGGGGGAATCAATAAGATGTGATATCAGTTGATAGGGGGAATCAATAACATGTGATATCAGTTGATAGGGGGAATCAATAAGATGTGATATCAATTAATAGGGGGAATCAATAAGATGTGATATCAATTAATAGGGGGAATCAATAAGATGTGATATCAGTTGCTAGGGGGAATCAATAAGATGTGATATCAATTAATAGGGGGAATCAATAAGATGTGATATCAGTTGCTAGGGTGAATCAATAAGATGTGATATCAGTTGATAGGGGGAATCAATAACATGTGATATCAGTTGATAGGGGGAATCAATAAGATGTGATATCAGCCGATAGGGGGAATCAATAAGATGTGATATCAATTTATGGATGAAGTCGCTATCACCAGAGACTTTATAATGCACTGATCAGATGTTCACAGAGGAGCTGATGTCACCATTGGAATTTGAATAGACAGCTTGAGCCCAATTCACACTCAGCCGCTAAATGGCCCCTGTGAGGCGCGTGATCAAGATAAGTACATCTGTGGACTCTTCCACTACAAACCACAGCTGGGGGCCAGATATCACCATACACTGCGCTCTGTCTGTCTCATGAATGGTTGGGTGAGTTGCCCTCCAGTGGCAGGTAGTGGTATTACACACTGTGATGATTGATACACATTATCAGACCAAAGTAACATAGTAACATAGTAACATAGTAACATAGTAGGTAAGGCTGAATAAAGACACAGGCCCATCTGGTTCAACGTATGTATGTATGTATGTATGTATGTATCAGTGGCGTAACAATCGCCATAGAGACCCAGGCGGCCGCTATGGGGCCCGAGGCACAGGGGGGCCCGGCCAGATGCCGTGCGGGCCACCTGGGTCGCTATGGCATCCTCTGCTGGTGGCTTTCACTGGCGGCTGTGAAGAGGAACACGCCGCTGTTCAGATCACCGACAGTAATCTGTGCAGCAGCGCCTTCCTCTCCACAGCGGCTGCGGAGTCAATGAGAGGCAGCAGCGGCGGTGGAGCAGGGTGGACCCGGCAGTGGAGGAGGAGGCGGGGCCCATGGTCGGCAGCAGGCTAGGAGGTGGGGCCCATCAGCGAGCGTGGAGGAAGAGGAGGCGGACAGGTAAGGAGTGCGACCAGCCCACCTGAGGGAGACCCTGCAGAGCCCACCATAGGGGTCACCCTCAAGTGGGCTCTGCAAGGGGTATAACTAGAAATCACAGGGCCCCATACAAAATTTTGCTATGGGGCATGTGACGAACTAGGAGCGAGGAGAGAATACACAGAGGCAAATCACACGGAACCTGGCATGCGGGGTGTTTATTGGGGAATTCAGGTATACAAATCAAGGTACAAAGGCCGGGGTTAGGTCCTGGGGGGTTGCAGGCCACGGGGAGGGTCCACCCAGAAGGTAGGCAACGGGCCAAGGAAGGAGTAGATCCAGAGTCACAATGCTAGTAGTCCAGGGGTCAGAGGTGCAGCGAGGGGTAATCCAACAGGTAACAAGGCACCGTGTGAGTACATCCAGTAAGGGTAGAACAACAGATCCCAGCAGGCCTCACCGCAGCAGTGGAGCAGAGCAGACAGGGTTAAGTCCGTATCCCTTTGAATCCCCAGACAGAGACCGGCCTCAGCGCAGCCTCTAGTCAACCATTCAGCGAGGAAGAGAGCATGCAGCCTTCCCACCAACACTCAGCCCTCGTTCACACCTGAACGTTTTGTAGCGCGTTCTACGCTCGACGAACGCTCTACAAAACGCTCAAAAATATAAATCCCATTGTATTCAATGGTCTCGTTCCCACCTCGGCGTATTTCCGCCCGTCCCTAACGCGCTACAAAACGGCCCACGCCTGAAAAGGTACAGGTACTACTTTGGGCCGTTTTGTTGCGCGTTCCCATTGGGATACAGCCAAGTAGCCTTCGGAAACGAGCGTTTGTCGCGCAACTTTTTTACCGCGAATCGCATATGCAATACGCCTAGGTGTGAACGAGACCTTACAAAGGTCCCAGGAGGGGCCGGCCTGAGAGGGGAGGGAAGGGGGAGTACACAGGCTGTTGCTGAGCAACTAACCCCCTCCCCTCATGTGTCCTTTGTTCTGGGGAGGATGGAATGGAGGGAAACAGCAGACATGTCCTGGCTTGTCTCGCTGCCCCTTTCTCCACAGGGCCCTGTGATTTCTAGTTACGCCCCTGGTGTGTATGTATATGCTTGGCTCTAGTAGCTATCATATCCCTGTAAATTTAAGAAATCAAGAAACTCATCTAAATGTTTCTTGAATTTATCAGTGCTATCTGTAGACACTACTGACTGTGGAAGGGAATTCCACATTTTTACTACTCGCACAGTACAAAGAAAACCCTGCGAAGTGTGAGATTAAACCTCCCCTCCTCTAATCTCTTGCTGTGTCCTCATGTCAATAGTATAGTTCTTGGTGTAGACATCCTATTCCGAATATTGTTGTCCCCATTTATGACAAGTAAGGGCTCTCCACCTCCGAATGAGGACCCCACTCCAGTTAGCGGGGCGTCACGGACGGGCCCCCTCCCTTTCGTAGCAAGGTGCAATCTATTGGCTATCAGTTTCTACCAGTTTTTATAGGAATTTGCTCAGCCAGACAGATTGATCCCTGGTGCCCAGCCTACCCAGGGGATGATGCGGCCTTTTAGCACTTACAGTATAATGTGGCCCTCAGGGTCCCTGAAGTCAGTGGTGTGCATTGTTTCATACTCAGTGGCCAGTGAATAAAGAAAACATATTTTTTAGGTTGGCTGCTAGTAATTACCGTATTTTTCGCTCCATAAGACGCACTTTTCCCCCCCCAAAAAACGATATTTGGGCATATAAAAATTAGTTATCAGAATGCGTTCTGCGCATTCCCGCCGCCATCTTGGAGGCGGGGTGCATAACGTCACATGACGCCACACTTGTGCGGCTTTGGGTGATGTTATTTGCAGAACAAGCGGCGGCCAGATCGACCGCCAGCGTGTTCTGCGCATGCGCAGAACCCTTTTGGAGTATATCTTGGTAGACACCACGATGGTGGCACACATATTCGGGTGCCGCCATCTTGGTGAACAGAACGCGCTGGCGGCCGCTACGGCTGGTGCTCGTTCTGCAGTTTCTTTGTGCGGTTTTGGATTTGGAGGCTCGTTGCCTCCGAATCAGCGTTAATTTTCGTTTCCATTGACAAAACAAATGAAAACGTTTTTCATTTTCATTTGTTTCATCCGAAAAAAAAAACAATGTTTTGCCCTGCACACGTCTAATAGTCCTGGACAATCTCATGGAACATGTCTGTAGTCTATGACCATCTCTTGTTGCATGCATTTCATTTCTCACCATATCCTGTTGCATATTTGGAGCCTCCAACAGCTTAAGGCCCCATTCACACACGGATCGGCCGGCACGTACAGCTCCGTTCGGCCACCTGGGTCGCTATGGCGATTGTTACGCCACTGCCCCCTACGCTCACCTCAATTGCAGGTCCGTAGGGGTGAGGGTTTTCTGGCCGGGACGCATACAGGAT